GTGGCCTCTGCAAAATTAGGCCAGTCTAAAGAAAATAGAAAAATACAGGCAAGCATTGTTTTTGGATTTGAAGAGGCCACCAGTACATGACCAGTGGCCATGGCTTATTGGAAAGATGTAGATTGTAGATTTCCTGTGTTTAGGATTGTTGTCATGCTGCATGCAGGACAATGACAACTTGACCAAGTTTTACCTGTCATACAGATGGCCTTACATTTGATTCTACAATACTCTGGCATACAGAGGAGTTCATGGTTGACTCGATGAGTGCAAGGTTCCCAGGTCCTGTGTCTGCAAAATAAACCCAACTGACCATGCCACTGTGCTGACAGTTTGTATGAGGTGTTTGTGCTGATCTGTTGTGTTTGGTTTTCACCAAACGTGGGAATGTGCATTATCTCCAGACATCTTCATTTTGGCCTCGTCTGTCCAAAGGACATTGTTCAAGAAGTCTTTTAGTTAGTTCAGATGAAACTCTCCAAAACAAAGCTATGCTGACATATTCATTTTAAAAAGGATTTGTCTGAATAAGGCATACTTGTTCAGTCTTGTTCTAATTGTACTCTCATGAACCTTCATGAACTGAGATGAAGCTCTTGGGGTTTATTTTGCAGTTTCTTCGGATATTGCACATCTTGGGGTGAATTTGCTGGGGCGTCCACTCCTGAGAATATTGTGGCATTGTGTTAGAACGCACCTGAATGCTCCAGGACAGCAAACGGACAAAAACTGCTGACACTGCTGAAGATCATTTAATCGAGTAAATGTGATTATCAGCACATGACTTACCATCTTATTTCCTATGTAAGCAGTAAGTGTACTCAGTTTTCCAGGACTCCATAGAGCCCGCCTACAAAGTAGAAAAAGACCTTAATGGCAAGAGTTGTTTGCAGTGGGATGAAAACAAGCAAACAAAAAAGAAAAAACTATTCAAGGTTTGCCTTCGTTTTTAAATGGGGCGTAACAGTTTGCACAGTGCAGGGCTCAGTTTTATTCAACCAAATAAGAAAGAGATGTTTCAAGCACCTCTGCTCTACATCAGGTCATTGGTTCTCTGCGGTGCATTAAAAACAGCTAGATGGTTTCTAATTTAGAAAAATTGGAAACCATGTGTAAACATCAGCAATTGGATCCACAAAATTATATATATATAAAAAAGCACAGTACTTACAGTGATATCAACCTACTTTGTTTTATTTTGACATACAGGTTTTGATACTGCTTTAAATGCTGGGTTTCTAACTTTAGAACAATATCAGTCAGTGTGCTTGATGATGTCTGATAAAAAGCATCAGATTTCTATCTTTTCTGTTTTTGTTCATTTACAGAAACTGATGCCACGTTCTTTCCATTCCTGTCTTTTGACAACAGTGGAATTCCAGACGGGCTCGTCACCCTGTAATCCAAAAGGATTGCTCTTGCTCCACTGTATTTCTCCCACCACCTCCTCACCGTTCCCCTGTCTCTTCCTGTCTCTTTAAGAAGTGGAAGGAATGTGTTGGGTCCTTTGCCCTTTTGTTTTCTGGTTTTCTATGCAAATAGCTGGGAAATGGAAGCTTTCTGTAATAAAGGTCTTAATATTCTGAGGACAGCTAACTGAAAGTTTTGTCCAGGCTACATATACATTTACAATAAGACCAAAAAAGATAAGCAAGAATGGCTGGACACATTTAAGTGGTGTCTATCTGTGGTATTGTGGTGTTTTTCTCTACTTGACTGGTCCTGTTCCAAGTCCTGAATCCATATGGCAATTTAGTCATATGAGAAAGATTTAACCTTTCACCTTCGGTTTTAAAAGAAATTGTTTGTTTTTCAATCGCATTCAATGGTTTTCATCAGAAGATGGAAGCAGCAAGTGTTATTATGTAACTAAAAAGTGGAACATCACTTACCACGTGTGACAAATATGGTCATAACGAGGGGGAGAGGGTCTGCGTACAAATAAGACTCCTGGTGTCAGATGTGAGCGAGCCTGTTGATTTATCCACATCAGTTCAGTGATTGTTGGTCATACACTCTCTTCTCCAGATCAGGAATTCATTTTAATGCCCAAATCCAGTTTCTGAACTTTGCAGACATTTTCATGTTTAAATTTAAATTCCACATACCAAAAAACATAAATATATAAAAGAATAAGAGCTAAAGAATTACAAAAGATAAGACGTGCAAATCGTGCTGTGCTGATAGCAAGAATTACAACACAGCAATCACCAGAAAGAACATTAGTTTTACTGAGTCTTCTTAATATTAGAGGTCTGGCTTCAATCCTTTGGACAAAATGAGTGTGTCCAAAGAGATTTTAAGTGTATTTATTACTGCATTAAACAGCACCAGTTCTCATCTATTATACCACTGTTGATATGAATTACTGAGGACTCATCCGTAAGTCTTGAACTAATAATGGCCCACAAAAATTATTGCCAGGAATTTCAATAATTCTTTCAAGGATCAAGCTTTGAAGCCTGAGTAAATTTCTCGATTGAATGAAAAATGAGTATATTTTTAAATAAGCTCTTTAATGGTAAAAGCCTTGTCTATTCATCGAAGACTCAGGCAAATGTAATAATATATAATATAAAATAATATCATATTTTTTGCTCCTCCTGAACTGACTGTTACAAGTTTACCAGTAATCATTTTGTCTTCTTCTCGTTTAATTTCTCTATAGGTAGAAGTCGCCACATTTAAACTAGATTTGGTTTAATTCCGTTTTTAAACATTTAAACGCTCACATAAAAACAGAGAGTACAGACTGTCCTGCGGGAAGTAATAAAATCGAAACACAAGGACATTATGTAAACTCCTCGTCTGCTAATTCTGTGTAAAAGCACTTAAAATGTTTCCTCCTGACCTGCTCACAATAACTTTAGTGCATTGGGTCTGTGCACATTTTTACTGCCGTGCAATGAAAACTTACAGGCCTTTTTCTTCGCCTTATATTTTTCAGAGCATTTCTGAATGCTCACAACTTCCGTAGTGCATGTTGACGGAATATTTTGAATATAATGTTGTCATTCATTTGGGATTTTCATGGCATTAACTCTCTTAATCTCATATTAAACATTTACCAAGTGTATAAAATATGACCATGTTCATATTAGAAAAAATTTGGATACAATATGAGCCTTGTGTCATAAAAAGGAGACCTTTTTATAAGATGTTGCTGTTTAGACCACCCACTTATCCCAAAAGGTGATATGACCCTTCAAAGTTTAGTAAAAAAATTTGCAGAATTAGGAGAAAACATCCAAATTAACAACGCCTGTCTCTGTTACTCTATGTCACGGATACTAGGTTTGCAGTGAAACTACAACATATCCAATCCCCAAGTTATCTCCAATGCATCCATTCGAGTATCAAAGTCTATGAATAATAGATAGAAAGCACTTAAAAGCATAGCAGAAGGTGCTTGTATGAGTGGGTGTAAATGAGGCAAGATGTATAAAGTGCTTTGAGTCCTCAGGTAGAGTAAAAAGTGCTGTATAAGAACCAGTTTATTTACTATTTGTTTTTCAGTGCTGGATTTTTGAGATAATGAGGACTCGAAAATGCAGGACTGAACAAGGCAACTTCAAAGTGGCACATCTAAACATACTCCTATATACTGTATTGTATATAAATAATCATTGTATTTAGATACAATTTTTTAGGGTTCATTAAATTCGCTAAATTTGCTTTAGCCCAGAGAATATGATATATATACTTTCCGAAAGGAATTTTGAAGCGTTAGAGCACAGGCTTTCCACATCACCTCAGTCCATCTCTAATAATGGATGTCCCAAGCAGAATATCTTTAGTGGGAAGCACAGAGAAAGGCCAAAATAAATGCACAGTTTGGTAACTTACAAATGAATTTGAGCTGATTGCATATCTTCAGAATGATAAAGATCATTTGCTAAATAAGGACCAATCGGGCGTTCGCCCTGCATGCAGCTGGCAGAAACTGCCCCCAAATACGAACTTTGATGAAAACGTGAAATTCCAATAGCACTGCCTGTTTGGGCCCTATAACTGTTACATAATCCACATTCTACATATTCCACTTGTCAGCCACACATTGCTGGTGAAATCCCTCAATTTACAGACCAGCTCAAGAGAAGTCACCCAATGTGGAATGTCTGTTGAAGCAGCCCTGTTATGTTCTAATTATAGCCTCCTCTTGTTATTCTTAATGTGTTTCACATTTTCACGTCTCTTGCATTTAATCAAGAAGCAGAACATAAGAGGGCCCAAATATGAGACATTCCACAATGACTCAGTAGGCCTTTTTTATTTCTCAGCCCGTAACACTTCTCATGCATTTCCTCCATTGGTTATTCCCTGTATTTATGTTTGGATAAATTACTATCTATGAATGTTTGACTATTTGCTTGTCTGCATATCTACTGATTCACACAGTCGCACATACCTCTCAGCATTACCAAAGTGACATCACTGTCCACCACTGAGGAGCTTTTAAGAAGCCCTGAGCCTTTGGGAATCCATATTGCTAGGGGCCAGCATCCTCTGGAAAAACATCTGGGAGAATCTCAACAATAAACCAGTGATTTACATCAATTAGATAATCCCAACAGGACAAATTCTGGGTCAAGCGCCCGCCTGCCCTCCTACGCTCCCTGTCAGGCTCAGGTGAGTAGGATAGTCTGTTGGCAAGTAACGGGTTAGTGTCTGTCTCCCCGCTACACCTCCTTGCCTCATCCCTTCACCCCCCCTTATCTCCTGGGGCTATATATTGGAGGTCGCGACTCGTCTGCATCTTAGGCATCACTCGCAGACATACAAACCCACCCCACTTTGATCGACAGCGAAAAACGAAGACCAGAACATAGAGATGAGGTCCCTGTTGAAGTTTGTGGTGATTCTTTTCTGCGTCGAGAGGGGACAAGGCCACTTGCTGAGATCGCTGATTGGTAAGTGAAGACTCAAGTGACGGTTGGAACCGATGACTTTTCGCTTTGAGAATGTGAAAATGAAAGTAAATATAGTTGTAAGTGGGTTTATCAGTTGTATAAATGACTTTGTCTTTTCCAGATCTGAAACGACAGACAGCATCTGCACACATTTCTCCAGATGAGGACAAAAGGAGCAGTTATTCAGCTGTGGAAAACAGCCACATGGAAGCTTCTGGAGTCGGACCATCTTTGAATCCCATCGTACCGATCCCAGTTCGATCACGCCGCTCAGCTCTGGACTCCCAGTGCGGCCTCCACTCCATCCTGCTGCAGGTTCGGGACCTGGGGCTGGGCTACGACTCAGATGAGACTATTTTATTCAAGTATTGCAGCGGCACGTGTCCCCGTGTGCGCTCCAACCACGACCTCACCCTCACCAACCTGCTGCTCACTGGACTTCTCCCCAGCCCAGTGCTCGGGGAGCTGTGGCACAATGCACCGTGCTGCAGGCCCACCCACCACGAGGACGTGGCCTTTCTTGATAACTCACACCGATGGCACAAGGTGGAAAAGCTGTCAGCTGCCGGCTGCAGCTGCGTGGGCTAGATGGCTGAGAGTAAACGGGTACTGTAAAAGGGGGACATGAACTTGGCGAACATTCTCTTGTAATCTCTGTAAATGAATGAACTTTTGTTCTTTCGTGGTGTGCAGTTAATGAAGCGGAAATCAGTTCTTATGAAATGAGAAACTCAATAAGCTGAAAATAAGCTGTTTTCTTTATGACTTCTGGGTGAAAATATCAAAACTACTTGGCTGCCTTAAATGTTTGATTGCAGTTGCTGTTCTCATTGACTCAGTTTTAATGGCATGTCCGCTAATAATATGTGTTTATGGGGCATTAGAAGTTATCTGTTCAAAAGTGCATTGATCGTTTTTTGTCTTTTAATGAAAGCTTTACTATTTTATTATTGCTAACTGATTTTTGTTGTAAATATTTTCTGATCTAAAAGGGTAAACTAAGCTTAAGTGTCAACGCAATTCTTCAACAACAACGTGACCATTTTGTAAATACACTCATATGTATTTATTTAAACTCTTTGGTGCGATGTTGGGGTTGAATAACAGAACTGACATGTACAAAGCTGCGTAGACACGGCCAGTGGTTCGACAATCACTGCGGATTGCAGTGGACAGTTTTTTGTATGTAAGATAAAATGTATGTATGTAAGATAAGTTATTTATTTATTTGATACTTTTTTGTCATTCTCATTATATTTATTTTACAATTACAAATTACATTGCAAATCTACGATGTCCACAATCTGTGATAAAAATAAACTCTTGCTGACCACATCTGTATTTATGGGAGTTTTCTTAGTTGAAAAAGACACATGCAGTAAATGCGTTTGTGTAATTTACACAATGTTTATTATTGAAGGATTTTATATATAAAAAAAGAATGGCACAAATACAAAAATCACTCATTTTGCAAGGTTGTCTGTTTAACTTGTGGATTTGAAGTGGATTCACAATCACAATGTTTATGTCTGTGAACCAAAGCCAAGTATTTTTCTTTCTTTACTTTTTGCCTCTATATGAGTTGGCTGGTTTGTTAAGGATTCACTTGTCTTCTCGTCAGACCGATTACAAATTAAGAATTTAGTTTACTGATGTAACTCAGCTTCAAACAAAAACAACTCTAATACTTGGAACTTTTTAAGAATTAAACAGTTTCTTGTTAAGATTTTATTCAAGCTGAACCTTTTTCACTTTATTTATTTTTGAGTGGAACACAGAAATAAAATTAAATGGAGGAACATTTCTATTTAGCTCTGATAAAAAGCTTGGTTTCTCAGGCATGTCCATTATCACTGGGTGCACACCTAATCCCATTTGATTAGTATGCCAGAGAACAGGTTCTCCTGGTAAGACTCACATAACAAACACTGGTAAGACTCACATAATAAACACTATAGTGATAACTCCAGCACCAAACCCAGTGTTTCCAGGCACAACATCTGGCTGTGGGAGGAACAGGTTTGTGCGCTTCTCTAAGGTCCGTAAGATAGACTGTATGTACAGACAGCAGGTTCTTGTTTTCACCCTCTACGTGGCTATCACATCCTCCTCCATCTCCTCTTGCTCTGCGCCCCACACTTGGACACGCCCCTCCATAGCTGTGAGGAGACGGGTCTCTGTAGGGTGGAAGGACAGGGACTGGACAACTGCTTTCCCCACCGGCAGCTTCAACGACAAAGACCCCTGAAAGTAAAACAACCAAAAATGTTAGTTTGGATGCTAGACTGTATGCTTTTAGTAAAGAATTTTTGTGTGGGTTTGACAAATAACCTCCACTATTCATTATTTTGTCACAAAAAAATCACACAGGTTCTACATGATAATGATCTGCTGGGGGTTTGCACTGAGAACGCTCTATTTCCACCCACTGTGGTTCTGACTAACTCTTGCATTTCACCTATTATTTGAACAAGACATGCAATGTTTTTCATGTATTAGACGTTTCTGAAGACGACATTTTCAGACCATTGGTTGCCATCATTTTCTGTGAAAATCCAAAAGATGTGTTTCTTATTCAGTACTTCAGTGCTTCAATCCATCCCTGTGCTCTCATTTCCAAAAGTGGGCAACATTTTGGTGGCAATCAGATTAGCAAATTATCTGAGATTAGCCAGCCTGCTGCTAAATTTATAATCCCAAAATATATCTGCATTAGCAGTAAGGCTAAAATAAGACACTTGAATGACCAAGTGGGAACTTAACCATCAGTGGAAATGCACAGTCAGGATTAGCAAGGCTAGTTGTGCATATTAAATCCACCTCTACGCAGTCTTTTTCCAGTAAAAAGTTAGTATACCAGCTAAAAAAATATTGTTTTTGAGCCTTTAAACTCACAGAGCTGCTCTGGTAACTTAGCGGGCTATTTTGAAATTCAATTCATCAGCTAATGCTATAAGCTAACCATCACTAGATTTGTGTAGCAAAGCTAGTTTACACTCTGTATCTTGCCTGCTTAAGATATCATTTATAAAATGATACATGCGTCTGGAAATGCTACTTGATTATCTTCCCTGGTTACTACACCTAACTGTGACACTAACAAATGATTACAGATGTAAAACCACATTGATGCAAAAGTGACTGACAGAATGCAGATGTTGTTCACTTCATTTAATAACAGTTGTTTTCTGCAGAGGCCCTTTAAGTACCCTTTGAAAATCAAATTCATAGTTACCTCCACCAGGTCCCAACAGTAAACGTGTCCGTCCTCTGAGCAGCTCAGGACATGCGTGTCTTTACTGGACAGGCAGCAATCCAATTTGTAGCCCTTCATCTTGTGTCCGGTATACCTATAAAAACAAGTATATGATAAAAACACGAGTTAAAAAACGTATTTACATAAGTAAACCGTACCATTTAGAATCTTGTAATGATTCACTATAATTTAACTGCGCTCTGTGGTAAATTTCTAAATTTCATTTTATGTCATTTGGACCTGAGGTTATGTTAAATGTTGAGGTATCTCGAGTGATGTCATTCGGACATTATTCAAGAGCACAACCAACGGTCGCGAGGGACAAATGTATGTTCTCTGACAAGCTGATGGGTGGTTGCTGGCTGCTGCTGAGCGAAACTTGTTGCAAAGAAAATATTGCAACCAGTCAGCTTGTCAGGGAACACGTTTTCAGATTTCAGTTAGTAACAAAAAGGTAACAAAAAAACAATACTTCTTGTATTGCTTTTACTTTATGAAGCCATAGTGGCAGCACATCACACTGTAAGTGAAAACAATCAGCACTCACTCTCCCAGCATTTCACCGGTGCTCTTGTCTAGAAGTCTGAGTGTTGAATCCAAGCTGGAGCTCAGGGTGCACTGACCATCTTGACTGAAACACACACAGGTAATAGGACCTGGAACGCAAGGATAAAAACACTTCAGTGGTTTTATATTTTCAGTGAAACTGTTTTGCTACAAAAATCAGTTTAAAACAGTAATATCTGCTGAGATTAAACTTTAGAGTTAGATTACTAACTGCTGATGAAGTCAACATGTAGCTGTCCCATTCTCAGGTCGTAGCGCCTCACTCTGCCATCCACCGACCTAAAACACAAGATCATTATTATTATAAGCTGCCATAGCAAAAATGAACAAAACAGTTGAATAAACGAATCAAATCTCTGTTTTTAAATTGTGAAACTTTTAACATGCAGGTTGTTTTTTTTTTTTTCAACTATGTCTGAAGTGCTGACCCGGTGAGCAGCTCGTGTTGTGCCACCTTGAGGCTGCTGATGCCGTCCCGAGCTTCGTCTAGAACCTGGATTGGCTCATATCTTCTGGATCTGGTGTCCCAGCACCGAACCGTCCCGTCTATGGACCCTGAATGACGAGAATACATAAAAATGAAATGCAGTAAATACAAATGTAATAGTTTACACATTTGCTAGGCAAATACGAGAAATACTAAAAAGAGTTCCATTAAAGCATGGAAACTTTGAGAATTTACAGATAACTGACTTTGACATAAAGCAGACTGGTTAAAACATCCACATTCCATAAATAATTTAATGTCATTATGACTCACCAGACAATATGACTGTTGCCTCCTCATTAAACTGCACGCAGTTAACTTTCTGCAAAGGAAAATTTGAAAAGGAGACAGACAGTAAAAATATTACATAAAACAAGTACACAGGCACAAACAACAGTGCAGCCGCCATGAAAACATGCAGATGTTTTTCAAATGAAATACCACGATGCCCAAAGTGAAACAGAGCTAAAAAGAGAAGGACCCACCCCGGCATGACCCCTGAGTTTGCGTGTGACCTGGCCAGTGGCAACGTCCCACAGAATCACCGTCTTATCTGAGCTACATGAGCAAATCTGGCTGTTGTCGTAGGACCTGTGCAAAGAGCCAACGAGAAAAGGTCATTCATTTATATTACTTCTGATCCTATATTCCTGAGACTAAAACCCTGTGGACAACCCAATGGTAATTCTCTCACCCATCTGCATCCAAAACCTCATATCCATGACCACTGTACGTCTTCAACAAGGTGCCTCGGCTCGTACTCCACAGTTTTAAAGACTTGTCACTGCCACAAGACAGCAGGTAGTTCCCATCAACTTAAAAGACATGGCACAGAGACAAGCTGATATAAGTGGATAACTCAGAACTGAGGAATAGAGCTTACATACTTTGAACTAATGAAATAAAGAACATATTCTATTGAGTTGACCTGAACTTGTAATATTTTATTATGCATAAATACATTACAACGAGATTTAGCAATTGAGTCTGTTCAGCCAGCAGCTGAACAGACTCAATTTGAGGATAATTTTGGTGGGGCTTTTTCTTACTGTTGAAGCGAACAGCCCTGACAGCTCCTTGCTGACAGTCTATGGTCCTGAGAAGATGTTGAGGAAGTTGAGGAGCCTGAGGTCTGGGCTGAGGAAATGCCATCACTTAACCTCTGTTTAAAACACACACATACACACAAACATTTTAGCTACCCACATTAACATCTCCTTCTAAAATGAAAGTCAGAAGCAAGACAGAATACATGTGTATGAATGGGAGAGAGGCGGG